ACTTTGTAAAACTAACAATGTCTCTGTTGAATTCTTTGACACTTATTTTATTGTTAAGGATCGGCTATCGGGAACACCTCTCATGCAAGGTCCGGTCATGAATGACATTTACACTCTGCCTGTCCGAAGGTCTCAAGTCAATGTTACCGCCAAATCCTCCCTACCAACATGGCATCATCAGTTTGGGCACCCAAGTCATAAAATCCTGGTTTCTATACTTAGAAGCAATAATACAAACTTTAATCCTCGTGAACTTCAGTCCTTTTCATGTACTTCCTGCCATATGAATAAAAGTCACAAATTACCTTTTTCTTTTAATTCTATGTCCAGCTCTCAACCATTGCAAATCATTTATACAGATGTGTGGACCTCTCCGGTTATCTCTGTAGATGGCTATAAATATTACGTTAATTTTGTAGACCATTATACAAAGTACATTTGGTTGTTTCCTCTAAAACTAAAGTCTGATGTTCATGTTGTGTTTCTTCAGTTTAAACGTATGGTTGAAAGCTATTTTGGTTATACAATCATCTAAGTGTTTTCTGATAATGGGGGTGAGTACACCAAATTAACTCCAATTTTAATAGTTTAGGGGTTTCACATTTTACATCTCTTCCCCACACTCCTGAACATAATGGCCCTGCTGAACGACGGCATAGGCACATTGTGGAGAGTGGTATGGCGTTGTTACATTATGCGTCCATGCTATCTTCCTACTGGTCTTACGCCTTTCAAACAACGGTTTACTTAATCAATAGAATGCCCACGACAATTCTTCATCACTGCTCGCCTTATCAAAAGCTGTTTCATAAACATCCTAATTACCAAAAGATTCAACCTTTCGGGTGCTTATGTTTTCCGTGGTTAAGGCCTTATTTTCCTGCCAAGTTAAAGCCAAAATCCTTGCCCTGTGTCTTCTTAGGATACTCTTTAACGCAATCTGCCTATAAGTGTTTAGAGCCATCCAGTGGTCGTGTATATATTTCGCGTCATGTGTCATTTGTTCGTAATGAGTTTCCTTTTAAAACTCTTACTCCTAATAGTATTTCACCTGCATCTCCTATACTGCCGCCACCTCCTATATATTACAGTTTCGACCCATCTCTGCCTTCTGCTATTCCGTGTCCAGTAAATCACTCTACACCAAATTCCCTATCTGGATCTACGTGTGGTGTGCCCTATTCTACAGGTTTACAGGTGGTTGCTCCACAACTGCCGGCTGCTGCATCGTCACCCTCTGGAATTCTGGCGCCTGCAGCGAAGACTTCTGCAATTCCGGGCACTGCAGCGTCGACTTCAGGGGTGCCGGATGTTGTTGTGCTGGTCTCGGATGTTCCGGGCGCTGTCTCCCGTCCTGCATCTGTCGCGCCGGGTACAAGTGGTCAAGAATCGGCTACTGTAATGCCGGTTATGGATGTGCCGGGTTTGTCGGCTACTGTTTCCCTTTTATTGTCTCCTGTACTCTATTTATTAGTTGGTTTTCCCAGTGAATAAACCACATATATTCAAGTTCTCACAGATAGGACTTGGTCTATGTGTCACACGTAAAACAAATTCTAATTTTTTTGTCAAATAAATTAGTCAACTTATAATAGGGTTTTAACGTGTATCAATTTTTATAATTACAATATCTCCTTGGTAATTTATTTGACAAAAACTAAGGCATATATACTTTGAGCAAAGAGCAATAGATTAATTCAAATAATTTCATAAAAATAGCGCTTAGTATATGTGCTTGACCAGAAATCCTATGATATTAGAATTTATCAACAATTACCAACACACTTTGGACCAAGCTCCATCCATAAGGCTTCATACTCACCAAGTAATAAACTGCAATCCACCCAATACTCAAGCTGCATAGACGGAGACTCTAATAGAATTCCAATATTTGAAGTACGATCAATAATAATAAGAAACTCAGAAAAATCAATAATCAATAATAGTGAGATAGATAAGCTAAACGAAAGCTAATCATCCAAGATAATAAACGGAATAGATACTAATAATAAACAATAGAGATTACCCAATATTGTCAAGTCACCATACCGAAACTGCAACCAAACAACCAACCAAAAACCATAATGCAGTTAACCAATTCATAATCCAACCAACAATTCATAAACCAACAAAAAATTCCTAATCCAACCAAAAACTACTCACCCTTACTTATTCCCCCTTATTTCAACCAAACTCCCCCTTAGTTATGCTCCCCCTTTTTTTGCCAAATAATTGACAAAAGTAGTGAACATCATTGCGTGCCAGGTTCTGTTTTGATAATTTGTGGTTGCGAGAAGACTCATGTAGAGAAATTGTTGCGCAGAGTTGGGACAGAACGGTGGGCCTGGATACGTTAGCAAGGGTGGAGGCATGTGCACTTGATTTGAAGAGGTGGGGGCGGAATTATAATAGAGATTTCCAACGTAAGATTGAGTTCAATAAGCAACGTTTAGAATGGTTGAGGGGGCGTCGTGATGAGTCTGGGTTGAGAGAATATGAGGCGGTGGAGAGAGAGTTGTTTTTTTTGTTGGAGCAACAACATTATTTCTGGAAACAACGTGCTAAGGAGTTTTGGTATCAAGGTGGGGATGTCAATAGCAAGTTTTTTCACAACTCTGTGAAAGCAAGACGCCAACGCAATACTATTAGACGTCTCCAGGATGAGAATGGGAATTGGGTGGAGGATTCACAGGGGTTGGATAATGTCATGTTGAATTATTATACTGGACTGTTTACCCCGGATTGTGGAGAGATGCAGGAGGTGATTGATGCAATTCCTGCGAAGGTGACTGAGGTTGATAATGCTATGCTACTGCGCCCGTTGAGTATGGAGGAGGTTCGTGTTGCGGTGTTTCAGATGCACCCGGATAAGTCCCCGGGTCCTGATGGCTTTGGACCGGGATTTTTCCAGTATTTCTAGGACATTGTAGGGGGGGGGGGTGGTAACGGCTTTCTGTAGAAGTTTCTTGGAAACGGCCAAGCTCCCACGTGGGGCTAATGATACCCTTGTTGTTCTGATCCCGAAGAAGGATTTACGCCCGATTACTTTGTGTAACGTCATCTATAAGGTGGCGGCAAAGGTATGCGCAAATCGACTAAAGCCCATGTTGAATAAGTTAATTTCATGTGCTCAAAGTGCCTTTGTCCCGGGGCGTTTAATAACTGACAATATCATGCTTGCCTATGAGGTTCACCACTTTTTGAAACGCAAGTCCCAGGGACGCGAGGGGGTCGTTGCGTTGAAGCTTGACATGTCGAAGGCCCATGATCGGGTGGAGTGGGAGTTTCTACGGGCAGTGTTGCTTAAGATGGGGTTTGGTGGTGGTTGGGTGGATATTTTGCTAGAATCTGTAACCTCAGTACGGTATCATATTTTGCACGATCAGCGGCATTTGGGGCCAGTTATACCAGGAAGAGGCCTCCGCCAGGGGGACCCGCTATCCCCGTATTTATTCTTTTTTGTGGCTGAGGGGTTGAGTGCTATGATTGAGAAAAGCATGTCTGCAGGCCGTTTGCATGGGGTTCAAGTTGCCAGAGGGGCACCATCCATCTCTCATCTCCTTTTTGCAGATGACTCCTTCCTCTTTTTACGGGCTAATGAGGACGAAAGCATTCAAATGAGGTATATTCTTGATACCTATGCCAGGGCTTCTGGACAGTATATAAATTATGATAAATCTGCTGCATGTTTTAGTGCTAATGTCCCACAGAATAGAAGAAATGAGGTTGTTGATATACTGGGAGTGGAGGAGGGTGATACGAGTGGGAAATACTTGGGTTTGCCATCCCTAGTGGGGAGGAGGAAGAAGTCTATACTGGGTTTCCTGAAGGACCGAATACTCACCAGGGTCCGTTCTTGGAATGCCAAGTTTTTGTCTAGAGCTGGGAGAGAGGTGCTTTTGAAGAATGTTTTGCAGGCAATGCCAGCTTATGCTATGATGGTGTTTTTGCTCCCCTTAGGCCTGTGTCGGGAAGTGGAGGTAATTCTGAATCAATACTGGTGGACTGGTAGTGTGGGTAGTGAACGTGGGATCAGATGGCGATCATGGGAGGGCTTGTCAAAGCCGAAAGCATGTGGTGAAATGGGCTTCCGCCGTCTACATGAGATGAATAAAGCATTACTAGGGAAGCAGGCGTGGAGGTTATTAGTTTCCAATCCCACAAGTCTAGTGGCCCGTGTGTTTAAAGCAAGGTATTATCCTGATTGTGACTATTTTGATGCCAGGGAGCGCAGTAACCCATCCTATATTTGGCGGGGTATGCTGGAGGTTAAAGGCTGTTTGAAGGAGGGCTGTAGAAGGGTCATTGGCGATGGCAAAGGGACTATAATTGGTAGGGATCATTGGCTTCCTGAGGATGGGAATCCGTTTGTGGAAACGGAGTTGCATCACACAGTTTATGAGGCACCGGTGGCTTCTCTGATGGATCAGCATGGTAAGGGTTGGGATGTGGATTGTGTGAAGGATATTTTCAATACCCGCGATGCTAATTTAATTTTGAATATTCCTGTCAGTAACCGGAGACCTCATGATCAGTGGTTTTGGCATTGGGAGCAGAAGGGTGTGTACTCGGTCAAATCATGTTACAGGCAACTTACGAGAGTGGATGCGAGTCACCGCCCATGGGCAAGTATTTGGAACTTGCAGGTCCCTCCTAAGGTGAAGAGCTTTTGTTGGCAGTTAGCGTCCCTCTATCTTCCCACACGTGATATTTTGTTATCTAAGAATGTTGCTTGCCTGGTGGATTGTCATATGTGCAGGCAGGTACAGGAATCGGCCATGCATCTTTTTGTTCAGTGCGGGAAGGCGGTTCGCCTTTGGAACTTATTGGGGATGCCACATGTGTGCAGCTATGATGGTAATCATCTTGGTGACTAGTTCTTTTGGGCTCTGGGCACTTTAGATTTGATTGCTAAGCCTAGGTTTGTGATGGCATGTTGGGGTGTGTGGTGCGCTAGAAACGAGAGTGTATGGAGGGGTGCTGTTTTTGACTTATCTACTATGGTGCGTAGGTCTTTGGCTTTTCTGGATTGTTGGAGAGATGCTAATGAAAAGCTGCAGGTTGGTGTTGGCCACAAACACACACATGTCGTGACCTCTTGGGCAAAACCTGTGCTTGGGAGGCTCAAACTCAATACTAATGCTGCGTTAAGGGAGGTGGATAATGCAATGGGGTTTGGATGGGTCTTGCGGGATGATGGTGGTAATTTCCTTGCTGCTAAGAATGTCATAGTACCCGGGTTGTATACTGTTAGGGAGGCAGAGGTGCTTTCTATACGAGAGGCGTTGAGTTGGCTGAAGGGCACTGGTTTGGGTGCGGTAGATGTGGAAACTGATTGTAAGATTGTTTTTGATGCTTTAACTTCGGATTCTTTTATTTCTGTTTTTGGCTATTTAGTTGATGATGTAAAGAGCTTGGCATTTGAGATTGAGGATGTGCAGTTCTGTCATGTTAAGCGATCTGCGAATTGTGCTGCCCACGCTGTTGCTAGGGAGGCCTTTTCTGCGTCAGGTTGCAGTGAGTGGTTGGATGAGCCACCTGCTTTTCTTGTTGACATTCTTGCTTCCGATTTAATGAATTAAACTTTCTCTTTCAAAAAAAATCATTGTGGAGAGGACTAGCGAGCTGACGGAGTGCCCGATTGGACTGAACATCAATTTATTTCTCCCCCAGATTTCCATGAAACAGCAAGAAATTTGTCCAACATTCATCCATAATGAAACTAGTAAATCATCAGCATAATTAATAACCCCAACCAATTCATTAATAATCCAACAGACATCCAACATAAAGATAATAATAAATCCAACATCCAAATAAGAAATCAATAATGAGATTACCAACCAACCCAACGATGCTCCCCCTAAAAAAAATATTCTCCCTTTTTGACAGAAATTTTCAAATAGTTTGTGATCATATAATATCCTGGAGTATAAGTGGTTCAGTAGAACCGTTAGTTTGAAGATGTAACAATTCCATAATAATTCCCTTTTGCATTTCTGAAAGCTTTTGACATATGAACCTGCACAGGTGAAAATAGAAAAGAGAAACCCAGAATAAGGTACATGCAATTTGAAAACAACTTAGCAAATAACAAAGAAGCACAAAAATTCAAGAAATTTTCAATTTGGGTCAAACAAAGCAGGAAGATGGTTCAGGCACAGAATCATAACAGATAACACAGAAAGCACACACACAAACACAAACACGGTCATGACCGGACCAAATAAATAACACAAGGAAAAAGACAGATAACAAATAACAATCTCTAATTCAAACATAAAATATTAGAGTAGATAAACAAGTAGGTACATTCACAATATTCAATCAATTCATAGATGGGACATTTAATGAACACACAGAAAACAACCAGAAACAAAACACAAAGAATAATCCAGGCAAATCAAACTATATAGCAAGTATGAACACATAGAGACAAAAAGAAAAAATTGAACTTACAGGTAAAGAGAAAATTTCTGAAAGATTAAATGTACCTGATGATATAAGAAATTCGGAGATACATGTACATAAAGGAACTGGAATGGATAATTCATGTTAAACCACAAATACATGCACATAATATTAGAAAAAAATTATCTTATGCACTTGAAAAGAGCAAATAATGAAAGCATAAATGACAAATGTGAACTACGAAAAGAAATTCCTAGGCACAGGTATTGGTGTAATACCAATTAAAAGAGAAGAGTTAGAGGGTACCAACTACCAACATCCCTGAATATTTTGAATCTTTCGAAGCACCGAAAAATTTGTTCCTCGTTAACAGGGGCGGAGCCACCTGACAGTAAGAGGGGGCCTTGGCCACCCCCCCCCCTCTCCCCCCCCCCAAGAGAAAAAAAAAGAGTAAAAGACATTTTTGGTCCTAGACTTATAGTAGCTTGGACAATTTTAGTCCTTTATAAAAAAATTTGCCATTTTATGGACAGAGTTATTGTGGCGAGGACATTTTTGGTCCTCCGTCTATATTTTTGTTAGATAACCGTATGAGAGAATGGTAATTACGTCAATTTAGGCTATCTCCTTCTATCTATTATATCTATGTGTGTTTTGTTTTCTTCTCGGTCATAATTCGAAGGAGTCGGAGAGTCCAAGTTGCAGTAAAGGCATGGTTGTGGGCAGAGCATTTCGTAGTGTAAAACTACAAATAAATGAGGGTCAGAGTAAAGGCATGGTTGTGGGACCAAAATCGTCCATCTCACAATAAAGAGATAGCCTAAATTGACGTAATTGCCCCTCTCTCATACGGTTATCTAACAGAAATATAGACGAAGGACCAAAAATGTCCTCGCCATAATAACTCTGTCCATAAAATGGCAATTTTTTTTTATAAAGGACTAAAATTGTCCAAGCCACTATAAGTCTAGGACCAAAAATGTCTTTTACTCGAAAAAAAATTTATGTTAGTATAAGGCAGCACAGCTGCATATTATGGACAGTAGCGGCTTGTCCCCCCCCCCCCCCCCCCCCCTTTTTATTTTTTTTTGTTAGTTAGTACTTAGAACTAAGTATTATAATAGCTATAAGCAAAAAAGATAAGCAAGTGTCATTGTCATGTGGCCCACCAAACATTTTCCCACCTAAAAGAATTCTTCTTGAGTAAGCAAACCATCCAAATTCTCAAATCATCCCAATTCTAAATTTACAAATAAAAACTTCAACCACAGTACACAGACGCGGCACGGCGCGGCAGATTCTTCAAACAACAAATTCTCTTCAATTTTTTACTTGCAAGTATATGGGTAATTTTCTATTTCCTTTTTATTCTTTAAATTTTTGAATTTGTTTTATGAATTAATCTTTATTGAAAATAGATTCATCATCCTCACAAGTTACAACAACCGCGATAAACTCGGGATAAATGGCAAAATAGTTAAATCCTCTCTTTCGTTTCTTCAGTTGACGACTCACGACGGCAACCACGGTGCACTCGGGCTACCGGTTACGAGTGTCGACATTCTCCACTTCTCTTTGGTTAGTATATGTTTATACTTTTAAAAGTTTAATAGGATTTCAAGGATGTTCTTTTAGAGGTCATGATGAGTCAATAACATCAATGAACCGTGAAAACGTTTTAGAGCTATTGAGTTTCATTGCCTCTTTCAATGATGAAGTAACAAAAGTTCTTGATAAGGCCTCACGAAATGCATCATATACATCACCAACAATACAAAAGCAAATTTTGCAAGTGTTGGCAACTATTGCATCAACATTGAAAGAATCTATCTTTTGGAGTTATTCATGTTAAGGACACTATTGCATCAACATTGAAAGAATCTATCTTTTCTATCTTATCTCGTCATAATCTTAATGTTCAGAATATTCGGGGACAGGGTTATGATGGTGCAAGTAACATGCATGGAAAATGGAATGGATTGAAAGCTTTAATCTTGGATGAATGTCCTTATGCTTATTATGTTCATTGTTTTGCACATCGATTGCAATTGGCATTAGTAGCTTCATCAAAGGAAGTCATCCTTGTCCATCAAATTTTCACCAAGTTGAACTCTATTATTAATGTTGTTGGGGCATCATGTAAGCGCAATGACCAGTTGAAAGTTGCTCATGCCTCAAATATTGCTCATTTGCTTAGTATTGATGAGCTAGAAAGTGGGAGAGGTCTTAATCAAATTGGTTCTTTACAAAGGCCGGGTGATACTCGTTGGAGTTCTCATTTGAAGTCTATTTCAAGTTTGATGAGAATGTATAGTGCAACATGTGAAGTTTTACTTAATATTGTTGAAGATGGAACTACACATGCTCACCGTGGAGATGCCGATGCAGCTTATGAGGTACTCACTTCTTTTGAGTTTGTATTCATTATGCATCTCATGAGAAAAAATTTGGAGATTTCAAATATGCTTTGCCAAGCTTTACAACTTCAATCTCAAGAAATAGTGAATGCAATGCATCTTGTGTCATCTACTAAATTGCTTATTCAAAATTTAAGAGATAGTGGATGGGATGAATATAATTAGTTGCAAGTGTGAAGTCTTTTTGTGAAACTGTCAACATAATTTTGCCAGATTTTGATGCTCAATATATTGCAAGAAGGGGAAGGGCTAGGCATCAACAAGATGAATTAACAATTGGGCATCATTACAAATTTGATATTTTTAATGCCGTGATTGATTCTCAATTGCAAGAGTTGAGAAATAGGTTTGATGATAAAGCAATGGAGTTAATTATTCTGAGTTCATCGTTAGATCCAAAAGAGATGCGTATATCATTCAGAATTGATGACATTTGCAAGTTGGTGGAGAAGTTTTACCCTCAAGACTTTGAAGATTATGAGATTTTACAACTGAGAACGCAACTTGAACATTTTGAACATGTGCAACAACTTCCTGATTTCATAACACTAGAAAGTATTTCTGATCTATGCCAATGGTTGGTGAAAACTAGAAAATCGAACATCTATCCACTTGTGTTCAGAGTAGTAACTCTCATTCTCACACTTCCAGTATCTACAGCTACTACAGAACGATCTTTTTCTGCCATGAATATAGTAAAGACTACACTCCGTAACAAGATGGAAGATGACTTTCTTAATGATTGTTTGTTAGTATATATTGAAAAACAAATTGCAAAACAATTTAGTATAGATTCAATTATAGATGATTTTCGTGACATGCAAGAGAGACGTTCTAAATTTTAGTAGATTTGTAATATAATGATGTATTTTGGAATATGTGAAATGAATATTAATGTATTTTATTATTATCTCTCAAATTGTGATCGGCCCCCGCACCAACAAATCATGGCTCCGCCCCTGCTCGTTAATGTGTTCTTCCTCCTCTATATCAATCAGATTCAACAAACTTCACCACTTATCTTTCAACGTCACCTTGTTGGTCTTACTCCAAGGTTTGTCTATTCCTTGTCTCGTACATGAAGCAATTCACACCAAGAAAAATTTGTGGCTGCAATAATTTTGATGATGAAGTTTCTATTCTGGTCGATAAATATCTTTCTGCGAAGCAGACACGGTAGAGACGGCTTCAGGCAGTGACAATCGTAGATATGTGCTGACGTGCTGAATGGCATGCATGGAAATTGCTGTAGCGGTGATAACTCCAGGCGGTTGCAGCAGGAGACGATTGAGCAGCAGATTGAAGCGAAACAACAAGAGCAGGCAGAGGCTTAGCTTGGAGCAGTTCGTCTCCATAGCAGTCAGTGGCGGTGCGATGGCGCTGGCGGTGTTCGGCTGGCCTGGGCGGTGACGAGAGCATGCTGTTCTTCGGTCGAAAAGTACATCGTAGGCAACTGGATTGCGGGCAAAAGCTACGGTGGTGACGGACGGTGACTGCAGGCTTTGGCGTCGAGGCGTGGCTGGATAATTTGATGGCAGTAGCAATAGTCGACGTGACAGCAGTCTAGGCAGTGATGGCCGAAGACAGGACAGTGATGACTACGGACGGTGGTTCGGAGTAGCAATGATTTCCTACGGTGATAGAGTGGTTCCGACGATAGATATATTAGCATCCAAAATTTGCGAAGTTTGCATGGCGGTGAGGAGCGATTGTAGCTGATTGCGACTGGAGAGTGAAAAATGCTACTGACTGTTGGATGGCTGAGCATTGATGGCGACGGACTGGGCAGCTGACAACGGCTAGGCGGCGTTTATTCCCTCCGGCAAGACTATGGGATTGTCGATGACCTAGGAAGCTAGAGAATACAGATGCCGAGATTGTTTTGACCTATAATTTAGGGTGATAGACTGGCAGGGTTTTGTCTGGGTAGAATGTATTTTAAAAAAAAATAAAAATAAAAAAGGGGACAAATGAGAAGGAAAAAAAAATAGTTGGAGTTTGTAAAAATTAGGATACAAGCATTTTGGCAGGATAAAGAATATTTGAGAGGAGAAGGAAAAAAATAGGATTTGATTTCCTTATTAACTAAGCTGCTTAGAATAATATAACCTGAAGCAATAGCAAATCTAATTAGATAAAACAATTAAAATTAAAAAAAAAATTAGAAATTTACATGTTATTTTTAATTGCAACCCTTAATAAGTCGTTTGCCAATTATGATTTTGAGATGTTTTAGAAATTGCCCGAGAGACGAAATCGGTTTTCCTAACACACACTTTTTTACAAACGGTGCAATATGTTTGTGGGTGAACTTCTCACGCCTTTGATCTTTATAAAAATAAAAGCACTTAGGTCTGGTATGGCCACTAATCCTGCAATAATGGCAAATAGGGTTATAACGTTTATATCTAAGTTTATTGTCCCATACTTTACCATGATTTTGTCTTGCTGAACTTGACTCAGGAATATCTTCTGGATCTGTTCCAGAAGCTTTGACAAAGACGATTTTGTCTTTGTTATTGTTGCCACCGGTGAAGCCTAGACCAAATTTGGTAGATGACTGTCTTCCTGTATCAAGAATCTTGTCAAGAGTGGATGTAGTATCCATCATTTGGATTTACTTTTTGAGAGTGTTCAACTCCTGCTTCAGATCCTTGACTTCTTGCTGACGTAGGTTTCTTCTTGCCTTAGATAAGTGGCGCATTTAGCTTGGACGTGACCAAAGCCTTCACACTCGTAGAACCTAATCCCCTTGTTGCTGGATTTGTATTTGGAATGGGCTGGGCGAGAGACAGAATACTTGTAATTTGATGAGCCAAATTTGGAACCATTCTTTGATGCATTCGAGCTTGATCCCTTTTGAAACTTGTTATTTCGATAATTCTTTTGTGAGACCTGTTTCAAAATTTTAGAGAATTGTTTAGTAAAAAACACAACTGGATCATCACATGGTTCGTTTGGATGAGACGCATCATCCTGTTCTTCAGCAGCAAAGGCTATAGTTTTTTGTTTTTTTTTTTTTGTTTTTTTTTTTTTTTGTTTTTTGGTGTGATGGGTAAGAATTTCCATTTCATATATTCGAAGGTTTCCCATTAACTGAGTCACGGTCTTATTTTCCCAACCGTCATGTTCTTGAATAACAGTGACCTTCATTCTGAATCTAGGCGGTAGAGATCTTAGGATTTTCTTGACCAGCTTTGATTGGGGGAAGGGTTCTCCGAGCACCATTGCACGATTTGCCAATTCTTGCACACGACTATGGAAACTCGTGATGATTTCATCTTCATTCATCCGAAGTTCCTCAAAATCAGATTGTACCCGTTGCAGTTTTGATTGCTTGATTGAACTTGTACCTTCGTAGGTCAATTCAAGTGCTTCTCATGCAGCTTTTGTTGAATCAATACCTGCAACTAAAGGAAATTGGCTTTCATGTATCAATGAGTAAATAGTTTCAAGTGCTTTATCATTATATCCAGCATTAGTTATTTGGGTCTGAGTCCATTTAGTTTCAGGTTTAGTCACTAGTGGATTGTCAGCACTAGCTCCGGCCTTAGTAGGATGCGTCCATCCCATTAGAACAGAGCGCCAAACGAGTTCTCCTTGAGCTTTCAGGTGAGTTCGTGTGCGTGTTTTCCAATAGGCATAGTTATCACCTGTTAAGTGGGGAAGTGCCTTAAAACGATCCATCCTGAAACACTCAGCACACCGTGAGATTGAACAAAGTAATAAAATAAACGAAAGCACTAAAAGCCGCTGAAACTTGAGTTCAAGAAGCACGGGATAGCCAGATCAATAGACTAATAATTTAAGTCTCTAGGCTCTGATACCAATTGAAAGTATATCGTGGGTCTTGAATGCAAGAAAACAACTAAATTTCAAGCATAGGATTGAAATTAACGTACCATTTTAATAAGTCATTTTAGAATGGACAACATAAATTAAAAGGTAAGAAATAAAAACCAGGAACACAGAAAAATGATCACGCAGTTCGGAGTGACATCTCCTACGTCTGCGGGGCAACTTACATTTGCCTAATCCACTAGATGTTCACCAAGGTTTTACATGGGTTTATACACAAGGCAAAAAGCCACTACAACCTTCACAACACCTAACTCAGGATTGAAACGTGCATGCTATCTTCTACTTCAGGAGCTGAAACTGTTGCTGAACCAGAAGCAGTCTAACTATTCCAACGAGATCCCAACAATAATAAAACTGATGATATGTGAATTCTTTGCTTCTAAATATAATAATATATAAAGCCTTGTCCATCAGTGAGGGCAAGAGCTTTCCTTTTATATGCATTCTCCTTTAACCAACTTTCTAAAACAAAAGTTATCAATGAGCCTGTAATTAATCACTCCTCTATTTGAACAAATCTCATCCACAAATAATTAAGCCATGCTTAATAATAAATCAGTCCCTTAATTTGAATACCATAAATTTCTTTCTCTGACTTTGACTGTATAAAAATAAGATAATACCTTGATAGGAGTTGGTCCGTTTGTCGAACCTAAAACAAATTCTAATTATTTTGTCAAATAAATTAACCAACTTATAATAGGGTTTTAACGTGTATCAATTTTTACACTTGCAAAGTTTAATTTTATAAATTAAACGACATCGATTTGAATTACGAATCGAAGTCATTTATTTTTAAATAAAAATCATAAGACATCGGTTTAATAGAGAACCGATGTCTATACTTTTGTATAGACGTAATTATTTCATAAAACCGAAGTCAAATGTATTTATTATTTTAAAAACAAATTAACTTACGTCAGTTCGTGTGTAACTGACGTAAATATGGTACTTTAGACATCAGTTAGTGACTTGACGTCTATAATTTTATATTTTACGTCACTGTAATAATTGATGTAAAAAGTAAAAATAACTGATGTAAAAGCCTATAATTGTAGTAGTGTACTTTTGGATATATTCTTTTAAATGACATGTATATAAATATATAATTTTTACTTTGAATTCAAATATATGTGAATAATGTCTAACTTTAAGCGTAAGCAAATAAGTTATGTTTAAATAAGTAATCCAAGTAGAAAAGATTGAAGATGGTGATAAGTAAAATAAGATAATGATAATGAATGTAATCATAGTAATGAATAAATATGTAAGTAGATAATGGTGAAGATGCGGTTACAGTGATATATAGCCAAATAGATGATAAATGATTTTGTTTTCCATTTATAAAACAGTTTTAAAAAGTTTTTCAGTTTTCTAAAAAGCTAAAAAATTATTTTCCATTTTCAAAGTGGAAAATTGTGCTAGTAAACATGTTTTCTATTTTCTATTCTCTAATTTTTCAGAAAATTATAGAAATTTTTCAGTTAGTAAATGAGCACCTAAGTTCACAAGTGGTTACGTGTTCATGTTAGTTGGTGTAGTTCTGGAAGAAAATGAATCATCTGTAAGTAATGTAGAGACAAAAAGTGTTGATTCCAAGAATGTCATTAACTCCACCAAACTTGAGATTGCCTTTTAAATTTCAAAGAAGATATGCAAAATCCACTACACCAAATAAGTCATTTAGCGGCGGCTACAAACCGCCACTATTATGTTTAGCGACGGTTATTCAATTGTGTTGAAATAGTGTGTTGCGAAGCATTTAGCGGCGGGTTTCTACAACCGCGGGAATTGATGGAAAACTTATTTCACGACGGTTTTGTAACCGTCGCTAAAATGAGGTACTTTTCTTTTGCTTTTAGCGGCGATTACAAAACCGCCGCTAAAATGAGATACTTTTCTTTTGCTTTTAGCGGCGGTTTTGTAACTGCCGCTAAATAAATCTATTTATTTGTTTATTTAATTTTAGTGGCGGTTATTAAATGTTGTTAAATGTTTTTCTTTATTTATTTTTAAAAATTTTAGTGGCAGTTATTAAGTGTCGCTAAATAATTTTTTATTTTCATAATTAAGTGTCGCTAAATATTTTATAATTACATTATTTTATTTTTATAATTATCATTTAAATTTTTATATTGCAATCACAAATAAATTCTATGTACACATTAATTGGAAAGAAAATCAATTGTAACTAATATTTGTCAAATAATTGTAATAAAAACAAAGAATCTTTATATACTAAAAGCTAATAGTTCTGAGAAAAAAGAGCGACAACATTAAATTGTTTCAGGAAACATTGATTCATGTGCAACAGTGAGAGAAAGGTTTCTAAAAAGACAATACAAGAATCCTTATTAATCAATTGACATTCAAAAGGAAACCAAAATGCGAAATTTCATAAGAAGATGATGAGCATTGTCTAAATCCACATCAAGTTAAAGTGGCCTTGGGAAAGTCCCAGTCTCCTTTGTTC